CCTCTCTTGCTTCTGCATTATATGTATATATATAGGGCAAGGGACCCGAAATCACTACCTTTGCGTGTAAGAAAAAAAAAAAAAAAAAAAAAAGCGATGAAAACTCACCCGGTGTAAGTTGACCAAGTGGATCGTCGTGTTTGCGTTTGAGTTGGCTGGCAAGTTGTATGCCCTGCTGTTGCATGCCACCAGTGCCGGCGGACGACGTCGAGGTAGCTACGTCCTGTGCCTGCGCCAACGAGCCGTACATCCCCGCGAGCTCCAACTCCTTCAATTCTTTTTGCTGCTGTTGGTGCTGTTGATGCTGGTGATGTTGCTGCTGCTGCTGTTGGTGATGGTGCTGCTGCTGGAGGTGGTGGTGGTGCGGTGGCGAGCCTCCCGAAGAGTCTACAGTTGTTAGCGGTCAATGTGGGGTGTAACGGTATGACAATCGATTTTGTTTAACGGCTTTGCAGGGTGGACAACAAATTTTACAACGCTGGAGCGAGAGGAGAGCTTGACATTTGCTCGAGATAAAGCTGTATTTTGCGAAAAAATTCATGACTCAAAACTCACATTAACAATTCATCAAGTTTAGATTTAATCATTGAGCCATCATGTGCTATTGGTGAATTTTTCAATCATTCATTGTTCCATGACAAAACGAAAAATATCATCGAAAATTTTCTTCTAAAAAATCTAAAAAAAAAACGATAAGTGTCTACATTTAATTTAATAGTGCAGCACACGAGAAAAAAAAAAACACGCAGTAACATGTACATCTTGTGATAATCGTTACGAGAATTCAAACAGAAAAATGCTTAGTGCACTGGTTATCATTATTAATTAGTTGCCGATTTACGTTTCTCATTGTGAACTTTGTTATTGACATAAACGCGCAAGCAAAGATCCAACTGCCAGTGTTGGGGTGGATAAAACAATTGACGCGAAAATGAAACGGCGATCCCCGACAAAGCAAATAAAAAAAAAAAAAAAAAAAAAAAAAAACAGTAAGGAATGTATACTCACTAAAGTCCGCGGGGTTGTAGTGCTTGGGACACTCGATGCCCAAATGCCGGAGGAAAGGCACGACGTCGGCCACGGGGCCACGGTAAGCGCACTGGCCCGCCGCCACTACGTAGACGTTGTGGAATTTGGCGAATATACTGGCGCTCGGCGTGTGAATCGAGCAGATGACCGTGCGGCCGTTGAGCGCCACCCGTTGCAGCAGGTCGATGCACTGCACCGACGACATCTCGTCCAGGCCGCTGAAACAGATTTTTACATCCCTTGTGTACCTATTGTACGTGATTTAAATCCCCTTTCGCGTTTTATCTCTTTACGCGGGTGGTACACGAGGCACGGAGATTTTTCGTTGCCTCACGCGTGATGGTGCTACGTATTTGGCAATTTTGCGGTTCACGAAAATTCGTGGGCCGTGTGTACTTACGTCGTCGGCTCGTCGAGGAATATCGCCGGAGGGTTGTTGACGAGTTCCAGAGCTATGGAGAGCCTCTTTCTTTCGCCACCGGATAATCGCTCTGTGGTCGTGTCCCTCGCGTTGCTTAGCCTCAATGTTTCCAGGATTTCGCTTATCTGGGAAATTTTTGTTTTGCAACGTTATGTTTCTTTCCTCACTTTTCATATTCATAATGATTGGAGTTTGAAATGGTAAAAATTGCATCGGATTGCGAGAAGCAGCGGTAGACGTACAATGAAATATAATTCGTTTTTTTTTCAATAA